TATTTGAATTTCCACTATAGGTAAATTCATAGTAACAGAAAGCAGATTAGTGGCTGCCTGGGGCTGAGGAGGAGAGAAGAATGGGGAGCGTCTGCTAAGGTACAGGGTTTCTTTTTGAGATAGAGAAAATGTTCTGGAATTAGACAGTGGTGGTGGTTGCACAACCTTGTGACTATGTTAAAAACCACTGAATTGTGCACATTAAAATGGTGGGTTTTATGGCATATGAATCATATCTCAATGAAGCTGTTTAAAAAAATAATGTGCATTTTGTCAGCAGAGACCAAAGAAAGGAAGATGTCTCTCTCCACAAAGCCCATTCCAGAGTGACAGAAGAAGCATCTGCTCTATGATAATATTGGGGGACCTGATCACACCTCTCAGCATTGGACGGATCATCTAGGCAACAAATCAACAGAGTAACCACTACTCTTTCAGAAGGAGAGAAGAAATCCAGGGTAATTAAAGGGCAGAGGCGGAGGGGAGAGAGATTGGACAAGGGGCATAAAGAATAAGTATGATTTGTAACAATATATATGCTAGTAATATTGATTTGATCAACATATGTCAACACTGAAACCCCAAAATATGTATAATCAATTATGATTCAATAAATTTAAAAATAAATAAATAATGTGCATTTTGTCATTGTTGGGTGATCTCTCACACACTTAAATCAAGTCTCTACACAAAAGAGCTCTGTCCCCTACCCTGTTTTATTTTTTATACTCTTTACCTCCTGATGTTTGATACACTTATGTGATTGCTTGTTTATTATCCACCTGCCCGCCCCCTCCCCCAACACACAATTGTCAGCACCTTAAGGGCAGGAGTTTTAGTTTAGCTCATTACTTTATCCTCTGTGCGTTCTGCATTGCTGAACACATACATCAATAATATTTCGTCCAACATACCCCATTAAGTCCCTATTCTGTGCCCAACTCTGTATTAGGGATGCAAAAATTGGGAAGACACTGGAAGGAGACAGACAGACACATGCTAAGATAAACACTGTGATGAGTGTGGGTCCAATGTGCAACAGGAATAGAAGAAAATGGGAACAGTCGATGGGAACCTACTAGGTGCTGGGCCACACTAGCCTTTTGTATCTGTTAACTCACTCAACCCTTGCCACCACCCTGTGAGTCAATATTATCGCTCCCATTTTAAAAGTTGGGAAACTGAGCTACCAGCGTGATTTGGTCAGTAGGTGCAGAGCTGGGGTTTGAACTCAGGCTCCCTAGTGTCCTGTGGTCTTTTCTCCACATGGGGCTGCCTCTCACAACAACCTTTCCAAACTCTAGAATAACCATGAGCATCTAATGCTGATCAGGCTGGTGAGAAGCCACTTTCATGCACTATTGGTGTGGCAGTCAATTAAAACATCTTTTTTTTTTTCCTTTTTGTCTTTTTTCGTGACCGGTAACGGGATCGCAACCCTCGGTGTCGCACCTGTACCGTGACCGGCAACGGGATCGCAACCCTCGGTGTTGTGCCCACACCGTGCTCAACCAGTGAGCGGACCGGTCTCTATATGGGATCCGAACCCTCGGCGGGAGCGCCACCGCGCTCCCAAGCGCCGCACTCTACCGAGTGCACCACCGGGCTGGCCCTAAAACATCTTTGGCAAACAATTTGGAAATATGTTCTAAGAACTTTAAAATGACCTTGCCCCCCCCCGCCCCAGGTCAGATTCTACTTCTTAGAATCCAGCCCCATTTCTAGATGGGGGTGCTACTGACATTAGGAGGGGGATATTTTATATATAAAATTCACATACCATAAAATTCACCCTTTTAGTGATTTTTGTATATTCACAAGGTTGTGCAGCCACCACTAAAATCTAACTCCCCCCAAATTTTCATCATCCTAAAAAGAAACCCCATACCCATTGACAGTCACTCCCCATTTCCCTTCTTCCCAGTCCCTGGCAACCACTAATCTACTTTCTGTGTCTATTGGTTTGCCTATTCTTGGCATTTCATATAAATAGAAAGATATAACATGTGACCTTTTGTGTCTGGCTTCTTTCACTGAGCAAAATGTGTTTTAGGTTCATCCACATTGTAGCATGTATCAGTACTTCATTCCTCTTTATGACTAAACAATATTGCATTGTATATACTACGTTTTGTTTATCCATTCATCCATTGATGGATATTTGGTTGTTTCTACTTTTTGGCTATTAGGAAAATTGCTGCTATGAATACTGGTGTATAAGTTTTAGGTATATACCAGGATTCACTCCTGGGTTATACCATAACTCTATCCTTAACGTTTTAAGAAACTGTCAGGTGTTTTCTGAAATGGCTGCATCATTTTACATTCCCACGAGCTGTGAATGAGGGTTCCGATTCTCTACATCCTTGCCAAGGTCTTTTATATTATTACTTTTCTATACATTCTATACTTTCCACAGTAAACCATTTTTCTTTTATAGTAAGGGAGAAAAAAACCAAAACAGATGAAATATAAACTCTCCTAGGAGACCCCAGCTCTTTGCTTTGGTCACATGCTACCCCTTACTCAAGGACCTGGCCTCTCCTTCTCCAGTCCATGACCCCCACAGGTGTAGGTGTGTATGCTCTTCTTTTTCTCCTCCCCTTCAGTGTCAACCTGGACACTCACTCTTCTTGGACACCCTGCTCAGGGAAGCTACCCGAAACAGAGAGAGACAGAGGAGGCCTGAAAATTTGCTATGGCCTTGAGCACAGGGAGAAGAGAACATTAGTAAAACAAGACACCAATTCTGAAAGTTTTCAGTGGCATCTGGCCACTTCTGGTGAAGTTGCTAAACTCTGGTGAAGCCCCTTAACTCTGCTGTAAATCTCACTTGGGTTTCTTGTTGCATCGCCATTACTGTTACCCCAGTGCCTCAGCTTTTGCCCCTGCTATTCTCTTGTTCTGAAATCCCTCTCTGCACCTGACTAATTCCTGCTGGTTCTCCAGGCCTCCTTTTAGTTGCCACCTTCTTTGGCAGCTGTCCCAGAAACCCGGTCATAGGCTAAGTCCTCTTCCCAGGGTGCCCTAGGTCTCTCCTGCTGGTTCTCCAGGCCTCCTTTTAGTTGCCACCTTCTTTGGCAGCTGTCCCAGAAACCTGGTCATAGGCTAAGTCCTCTTCCCAGGGTGCCCTAGGTCTCTCTTCCCCCGGCTCTGTACTGTAACTGTTTTGTTTCCCCAGAAAGGCTGGGCGTGGTGGAGCTATAGTACCGAGGGCTTGTCCTATAGCAGGTGCACAATAAACAGGAGCCGAGCAAAGAAAGAGAGCAGGAATGGCTGAGCACGGTCACCCACAAATAAAGGAAATCATTGTACAAGGGAGGTGAAGGAGGAGCAGGGGTGGCAAGAATCATAATAAATGCAGTGACAGCTTCCGAGCTTCCTTTTGCACCCCTGGGACACTTGTCCTGGGGAATTCCCTGATGATAGTCTCCAAGACACATGCGCACCTTCCTCAGCCTCCAGCCTACCCCTGACATGTGACCTCATATCAGGTCAAGGGACCTCATCCACAGCTGTTTAACCAACTGAGGAGAGTGGTTTTTATCTCCTGCCCTCCGAGCAAACCCAGCCTGATAACGATACCTACCTCAGAGGGTTGTATGAGGTTACCAGAGGTGATCTGTGACAAACATCCAGCACAAGCCTGGAACACAGGAAATATGCAGTAAATGTCTGCTCTGGTGACTCCACAGCCCTCAGACACACTTAAGCCCAAGCTGGTGGATGTATCCATAAGCCCTGCTGGGCAACCACCAGTCACCCAATTTCAGCAGCAAACATGGCAAAGCACAAATTCTCTGTCAACACAGTAGGTAAACTCTTTGTGGATCACCCAATTTTCAGTTCCCCAACAAAATGTCTATCACACAGTTAGTTATACATACACATGCTATCTATTTCAGGCACAGTCTGCAGTCATACTCCAAAATATACCCAGGCACACAACATATCTCAGTGTCACCCATGAGCAGTCAATAAACACAGGCCCTCACAGCATCTCCATCACAGCACTATTGTCACAACCATTCACAATCTCTTAGTAACCATGTCAACCAGACACAGAAAATCTGTCACACTTGAAATCACAGATAGTCACGCACCCACCCTCTCACGGTATCATAGAAACCACCTATAAACTCTTAAACAAGCACCATCTCTGTCAGTCGCATACTCCACCGGTTAGCCAGACGCTCAAGGTATCAGACGGTCACACACCAACACGTGTCAGACAGAAGCACAACCTATCCGACGCGTACAACTGGTCAGTCAGTCCCACGCCCTCCATCTCAGCCCGCTGGTCCCACTTTGATCTGTTCTTCTACGCTCCGTCCGTCAGTCCCTCACCTACTCTACTGGTCTGTCCGTCAGTCCAGCCCTCACTCACAGCCCCCGGTCCTCCACCGGTTAGCCAGACGCTCAAGGTATCAGACGGTCACACACCAACACGTGTCAGACAGAAGCACAACCTATCCGACGCGTACAACTGGTCAGTCAGTCCCACGCCCTCCATCTCAGCCCGCTGGTCCCACTTTGATCTGTTCTTCTACGCTCCGTCCGTCAGTCCCTCACCTACTCTACTGGTCTGTCCGTCAGTCCAGCCCTCACTCACAGCCCCCGGTCAGCCTCTCACTCCCCGCCCGCCGGTCGGTTCCGCACATTTTGCTCGGGCTGCCGAAGGCGTTCGCGCCTTCGGGGCCTGCGGTTTTCCTCTCCGGCTCCAAGCCGGGCCGGGACCTTCACCCAAACCCACCTCACCCGCGCAGCCAGCGGACACTTCCGGAGGCGTCCGCAGTAACTAGCCAGCCCGCGCGCCCGCTAGTGGGGACTACAACTCCCAGCACTCCCCGCGTCGCAGGCTCCACTGATAACGCGCCCGCCCACCTAGACTACAATTCCCAGAAGGCACAGCGCCCAACCCCCGTTCTGCCCTTGAGCCTTCCGGGGCACGTCGGCCGTTGTAGTCCCGGCTGGCTCTAGGGACAGCGGTCGGGCCTTTGTGGGGCGGTGGTGGCGGTGAGTGGAGGTTCCCGGCCGTGGGGTGCGGTGGAGGCGGGACCGTGCGTGGTGCGTGGGGGTGAGCGGTGTGTGAAGAGGTGAGGGCTGAGGGTGCCATGAGGGATGTCGATGTGAGCTGTAAGGGATGAAGGGCGTGGGTGCTGGTGTGAGGGGTGTGTCTCGTGTGTAGCTGTGTGGCTCACTGTGACCACATGTAAAAGTCATTTCACATGTCTGTCGTGTGTGACTGTATGTGACCTGGGGGTCTGGCTGCGTGTGTCACTCTGTGACCATGTGTGAGGGTAGTTCTGTGTGCTTAACTGTGTGTGAGTGATCTGTGGTTTATCACCATATGCGATAATCATGCAGCTGTGTGTGACTTCACCATGTGCGATGGTGTCTGTGAGACAGAAATATGCAAGTGGTGGGGAGGACCTGTGTGGTGGTGTTATAGTGACTGTGATTGCGGGTGTGATCGTGTGACACAGTGGGTGCCTAGACATGTAACTGTGTGTGAGAACGTTGTGTGTGGGGGGGATGTGTGGGGTGTGTGTGTGTGAGAGACATTGAGCAGGAGACTCTGGCTGGGGGCTCAGGACATGGAGGGTAGCTGCCCAGCCTGTGTGCAGGTGAGGTCCTGTGGAGGGTGCCTGTGTAACTGCCTGGTGGTGCTGGTGGTGTTCATTGACTCCAGCCTGTGGCCACCTCCCCTGTGGTTTCTCAGACCTTCCTGTGCAGGCTGCCAGCAGCTGGAATGAGCATATCTTTCTTCCACAGATACATATGGAGCACCCAGGACAGGGGGCCAGCACCATTCCAGATTGGATACCGCAGTGACGAGGACCTTCATAAAGCTAATTTTATTGTGTGGGGAGAGAGATGATAAATAAAGAAATAAGTTACTTCTATGTGGAGTTGGCATCTCAGCTGAGACCTGACTAGAGGGACGAACTCAAGGAGAGTATGTTGCAGGTAGATGGAACACAAATGCCAAGGCCGGGAGGTGGGCATGGGTGAGGAGAGTGGGCTGGGGTAGATCAAGGGAAGGAGATGGGAGGGGATTGGGTCAGAACAGACAGGCCTATGGTGGAAGAATTTTTTTTTTTTTTTTAAAGATGACTGGTAAGGGGATCTTAACCCTTGACTTGATGTTGTCAGCACCACGCTCTCCCAAGTGGGCCACGGGCTGGCCCAGTGGAAGATCTTGAAGGGCTTATGGGCCATATATGGACTTTGATTTCTACCCTGATAGAGGTGGGAGCCATGGGAGGCCTTTGAGCAGAGGAGGGCCGTGACATGACCTAGCTCCTCATAGGAGTCCTCTGGCTGCTATAGGTCAGGGTGGCAGTGTGATGGTGGTGGAAGTACTGAGAAGGGTTAAGATCTGGATCTGTTTGAAAGGTGTAGCCGATAGGGTTGATGGGTTGAACTCCAGCAACCAAGGGGTGGGCAAGGCTCAGCTGGGTGACCTCTGATCATGGGGGTAGGGGGGGATCTCTGTGTGTGTGTGTGTTTGTGTTTGTATTAGTTTATTAGCTTGCTAGAGTTGCCATAACAAAATACCACAGAGTAGGTAGCTTAAACAACAGAAATTTATTTTTTCACAGTTCTGTAGGCTGGAAGTCCAAGGTCAAGATGTCAGTAGGTTTGGTTTCTCCTATGGCCTCTCTCCTTGGATTTCAGATGGCTGCCTTCTCACTGTGTTCTCATATGGCCTTCCCCCTGTTTGGGTCCCCAATAAAGTAAGGCAAATCATAACTAAAGCCAAAATGTTTCATTATTTTAGTTATTATTTTAGTTATGCTAAGTTTCCATTTATATTGTCAGAGCTAGGGCTCAGACCCTCCAAACCCATTGTACAGACTGGGCCCCCAGACCCCTTACATGCAGGCCCACGCTAGGTAATTGGGAAAGATTCCAGGAGCTGTTGGCAGATGACATGAGCTCAGTCCCTAGCTCCCTGAGCGGCAGCAGCTTACAGGTCCGGCAGTGGCAGTGGCCTTGCAGACATCCCGGGGGCACTAGCAGCAGCAGCAGCCTCCAGCAGCAGTAGTGGCCTCCCCATGCCCCCCCAGTGGGGGGGCATCCCGGGGATGGGAGGCACCATGGATCAGAGTCACTCATCCTTACACTTAAATCCATAACCCAGGACACCTAGATGCACATATGCACAATTACATTAGACGATAACCAAAGAACTACTTGAGCGCATGTACCTGTTTACATCAAATGCCCGGCAAGATTCTGAACATCTGAGGCACCCTGACCATTTTTCCTATATTTTCCCAACAGTCCCTCTCTTCTTTTAAGGACACTAGTCATATTGGATTAAGGCCCACCTATATCTCGTTTAACCTTAATTACCTCTCTAAAGGGTCTATCTCCAAATACAGTTATATTCTGAGGTATATTGGGGGTTAGGACTTAAACATATGGATTTGCGGGGGGGGGGGGGGGACAAATTTTTGCCCAGGGGGGGGGGGGGGGGGGGGGGGGGAGAGACACAATTTAGTCCAGAGGAGGGAGTGAAGGGGCATTGGTGTGGGTGTGGGGATACTTAGGGTGGAGCTCTTTTTGGAGACGTTCCTAAGGAGGAGATGGGAGAGAAAGTGTAGCAGCTGGCAGATCAGGTGCCAGGGAGAGCAAGGCGAGCCCTGATTGACAGTTAACAGGAATGGGTAACTTGAAAAGTTGATGGAATCTCTCCTCAGTGGCTTCTTTTCTGCCCAGATTATGTCTGTGCTATTAGGGCTGCGAGAAGTCCTGCCATTTTCATAGCTGAGGCCAGGGTATCCTAGACCTTGGAATGCCCTTTTCCCTTGGCCACCCCTTTTGTGCTTGTTCTCTGTTCAGTCAGTGCTCTGAGAAGACTCTGCTCCCTTCCTCTCTGCTTCTGTCTCTTTCTCATACTCTCTCCAAATTTCAAACCTCATCTTTTTCAGGGAATATTCATTTTAATTTGGGAATTATATCAGTCACCTGTTGCTCTAAAACACACCTGCAACAGCTCAGTGACCCACAGCAAAACGTGCTTATTTCTGTCATGTGTCTAGGGGTTGGCTGATCCAGGCTGGGCTCAGTGGGCTTGGCCCCAGGCTGCAGGTCCAGTCCGTGTCTGCTGCACTTTTCTTGCAGGGCTAATAGGGAAAGTTCATCTCATACTGATGGCAGAGACACCTGAGGGCTTGAGGCCTAGAGAGTTAGTAATTCCATCCACTTCTATAATCCTTCTGGTTTCTTTTCTTTCAGTGTAGAATGTCAACAAAATCATTTGTGATCTTGGTTTCTTTCAGTTCAAGGAAGGTGACTAAAGGGCAAATTCAAAGACCTGCACTTCATAACAGGGCTAAAAATGGAGGTTTTCAGAAAAGAGTCTTCTCTGCCTTCACAGACATGGGCACTCTGGATGCCTGCTCAAGGAACTGGAACAGAAATCCTGCTAAGATTATGGAGGAACATTTGTTCTTCTAGGAAGGAGATTTTAAGCAACAGTCCCCAACATGGAAATTCCTAGTGTGGTGAGAGGCTGTGGTGGCAGTGAAGTTGCTAGAAGTGTCAGGATTCCTCCTGGAATTAAACAAGAGAGCATTGATGTAGAAGAGAAAGCACATATGTTAGTTGCACATGGAGGAAGCTTTGAGCAGGTTCTAGAGCCAGCTGCATCACAAGCTGCCTGTGTGAGCAGGAAACCCTGCAGGTGTAGTGTGTGTGGGAAGAGCTTCAAAAAGCACTTGGCTCTCACTATGTATGAGAGGACTCACATTGGGGAAAAGCCCTATTTGTACAGTCCTTGTGGGAAAGTCTCCCAGTGCCAGTCCAACCTCATCGAGCACCAGAGGATCCATACTGGAGTGAAACCCTGCAAATGCCAAGAGTGCAGGAAAGGCTTCATTCAGAACTCCACCCTTATGCTGCACCAGAGGACCCACGCTGGAGAGATGCCATTTAAGTGCAGGGAATGTGGCAAGGCCTTCCAGGGAAGCTCAGACCTGTGGAAACACCAGCAGATTCACACCGGGGTGTTGGGAAAATATAGGAAAATGGTCAGGGCCCCTCAGATGTTCAGAACATTGCTGAGCATTTGCTGTAAATATCTTCAGGTGTTCCTTGGTTACTACTTAATGTAATTGAATATGGGCACCCAGGTGTCCAGGGTTATGGACCTAAGTATAAAGGACTAACAGCTCTGATACATGGTGCTTCTCAGAACTCTCAGAGAAGTCACTAGGACAGCTGCTCCTAGCTCTGAATAAAGCCTATTAATTTTTTACCCGTGGCTCCCAGGACCTTTTCCTATTACCTAGCTTGTAGACCTGTGTGTGGAGGGTTTGTGACCCAATTTGTGCAACGGGCTCAAGGGGTCTGTGAGCCCTAGCCCTAGCTTTACATCGGAGAAGCCTTACCAGTGTCAGGAGTGTGGGAAAACCTTCAGGTGGAGCTTGTTCCCAATCTGCCACCAGAGGACACACAACGGTGAGAAGCTGTATCAGTGCACTGAGTGTGGTAAGGCCTTTGGGCAAAGTTCCACACTCATTGAGCATCACAAGATCCACACAGGTGAGAAGCCCTGTGAGCGCTTGGACTGCAGCAAGCCCTTCAAGGGCAGCTCAGACCTCAGCCAGCACCAGCGGGACCACACAGGTGAGAGGCTCTACGCGTGTGACGAGTGTGGGTGCACCTTCATATGGAAGATGGTGCTTGTCACCCACCAGAGGACACGCTGGGGAGAAGCCATATGTGTGTGGCCAGTGTGGCAAAGCCTTCATTTGGAGCTCACAGGTCAGTCAGCACCAGTGGAGCCACACAGGCAAGAAACCCTACAAGTGCCCAGCCTGGGGCAAGGCCTTCAGCATGAGCGCCTACCTCACTGAGCACCAGCAGATCCACTCAGGTGAGAAGCCCTATGTCTGCCTGGAGTGTGGCAAGGCCTTCATCTAGTGCTCACACCTCAGCCAGCATTGGCACATCCACACAGGTGAGATGCTTGCAGCAAGCATGGCAGGGCATTCTGGTATAGCCTGTACCTCCTCCAGCACCAGAAACTCCACACCAGGGAATAGCTCTGGTGGCTGTGCTCTCGCCATGCCCTCCCAGGGGCCTGGGGCACGTTGTCTTCCTCTGTCCTGCACGTCTCCCTCTTTCTGCACCCCACAGGCTTTTATCACTTCCTCCCCCCTTGTTCCTCTCCCTGGTCCTCTTTCCATTTTCTCTTTTCAAAATTTTTAATATTTTTGAGCTATGATTTACATACCATAATGTTCACCTTTCAAAAGTGTACAGTTCAGGGGTTTTTTGTATATTCACAAGGTTGTACAACCATCAGCACCCTCTACTTCCAGAACATTTTCATCACCTCCTAAAGAAATCCTAAACCCATTTGCAGTCACTCTATTCCTTCTCCCCTAGCCCCTGACACCCACTAATCTGCTTTCTGTCTGTATGGATTTGCCAGTTCTGGACATTTTGTGTAGATGACCCCTTTGCATTTTCTGACCACTGGTGGGCACCACGGGCATCCTATGCTAAGGAATCCTTTGCTTTCCTGACCAAGCCCCATCTCATTCTCTAAGCACTGGACTGGACTTTGGGCTGCAGGTGGCACTGGTTGCCTTCACTTCCTTGGTCTTCTTGGCCGTCCTTGCGGTCTTCTACTCACACTCTGTTGTTGAAGGTACAGCCTATGATGTGCACCCCTGATCACTGTAAAACTAAGCCATGTCTTCACTGAGCCCCATTTGTGCACTCACTGGGTAGTTAACCCAAATTGCCAACTCTCCTGGTGACCTCCTCTCTTCCTGTGCCGCTAAAGGCTTTATCTCTGGCAGCTCCTGCTCCTCAGCCTCCAGGCCTGCCCTTCTGTTGGACCCAGCTCTATGCCTCACTGCATATTTCCCTTGGCACCCCCTCCTCTGAGCAGAACTTGTCTCCCCACTGGCAAAGGGAGCCCCAAACTTGCCTGGTTTGTTTTATCACTTCTGTGAACTATCATTCTTCCTGTTTTCTACCTGGGTGAAGTTGGGCCTGCTCAACTGGTCTGGTTTGTGTCAGGAGTCTCTGTAAATTTCGTATTGTTTCTGTAACAAATTACGGAAAAGTTAGTGGCTTAAAACAACAAAAACCTATTGTTACATTTCTAGAGATCAGAAGTCAGAAATGAGTCTCACTGGACTAAATTCATGTTTCCTTTTAGAGGCTCCAGGGGAGAATCCATTTCCTTGCCTCTTCCAGCTTCTGGATTCTACCCACATTCCTTGGTCTGTGGCCCCACCTCACTCCTACCTCTGCTTTCATAGTTATATCTCCTCTGACCCTCCTATCTCCCTCTTTCACTTATAAGGACCCTTTTGATTACACTGGAGCCACCTGGCTAATCCAAGATAATCTCCCCATATGAAGATCATTTACTTAATCAGATCTGCAAAGTCCCTTTTGCAATGTAAGGTAACATATTCCCAGGGATTAGGGTGTGCACATCTTTGGGGGGGCATTATTCTGCCTATCACTGATCCGAATTTAATTGGTCTTGGGGTTTGGCCTGGGCAATTGTAATGTGCAGAGAAGGCTGAGAACCACTGACTGAATCAACATAAGACCATAGGAAGTGTGGGCTACAGAGAGGGACCCAGCCGATCTCAAATTCCTGCTCTGCCCCTTACTCTCTGTTTCTTGGGCAAATTATTTCACTTCACTGAAATTCCACTTCTTTCTCTGTAACATGGAGATAACAAACCTGACTTCGTGATATGGAGATAATAAACCCTCTCCTCCTCCCAGCTGATTGTGATAGCCTCTGCTTCCCCATGTCCATGGTGGGAGGCCTCAGGGTAATCAGGCAGATTAAAGCCACAATATGATGCCACTTCATACCCACTAGAATGATCATGATAAAAAAGATGTAACTACAAGTGTCGGCAAGGATGTAGAGAAATCAGAACCCTGGCACATTGCTGGTGGGAATGTAAGATGGTGCAGCCGCTGTGGAGAACAGATTGGCAGTTCCACAAATAGTTACACACAGTTGCCCTGTGGCTCAGCATTTTCACTCATCAGTTTATAGCCAAGAGAAATGAATACATATGTCCATACAAAATCTTTTTTTTTTTTCCTTTTTTTTTTTGTCTTTTTTCATGACCGGCAACGGATCGCAACCCTCAGTGTCGCGCCCGTACCGGCCCGGGACCGGCAACGGGATCGCAACCCTCGGTGTTGCTCCCCGCTCCTCGCTCAGCCAGTGAGCGGGAACTGGTCTGTATGTGGGATCCGAACCCTCGGCGGGAGCGCCGCCGCGCATACAAAATCTTATACACAAATGTTCATAGCAGCATCGCTCATCATAGCCAAACAGTGGAAACAACCCAAATAACCATCAACCAATGAATGGATAAACAAAATGTGGTACATCTGTACAACAGAATGTTCAGCCATAAAAATGAACGCAGTATTGATACATGCTAAAATACAGATGAACCTTGAAAACATGCTGAGGGACACAAAAGGTCACATGTTTTAACATTCCATTTATGTGAAATATCCAGAAAAGGCTCATCCATAGAGAAAGAAAGTAGATAAGTGGGTGCCAGGGGCTGGAAGGGGAGTGGGAAGTGACTGATAATGGGTTTGGGGGTTTCTTTTGGGGGTGATGAAAATGTTCTGGAATTAGTGGTGATGGTTGCACCTTGTAGCGAATATACTAAAAATTGCTAAATTGAACACTAAAAGAGTGGATTTTATGGATGTGAATTATATTTTAATAAAGCTATTATTAAAAACATAGACACAGACACACAGAAACACACACTCTCTACACAGAGGCAGGCTCCCCCACCCACCCAGACTCTGCATGGAGGACCCGCAGCTGCCTCATGTCCGTGGATTCCATCCCATAAACCCCTTCAGCATCTAAGTGAGATTCACCCCACCACTGTGCAAGTCAGCTGAACTCCACGCTCCCGGACTCTTGAGGGAAAGGGCCCAGATGCTCCCAGTGCCAAGCAACTGCCTTGGCGTCCAGGGAGTGTGTGTGCACGAGTGCGGATGCACACCTCACGTCACTAGGATGCAGCCCAGGGGGCCACCCTAAGGAGTAAATTGAGGTCTCTGGGCCCCATGGGCTCTCCTTTACCTCTTGTCTCAGGACCACTTGACTGGGCCTGATATCCCAGGGAACCCACAACCTGAGGTTCAGCCTCTGCCTCCTGCATCTGATGCCAACAAGCAGCCCTGCCCTCCATGCAGGGTCTAGGCAGCTCAAATGCCTACTGGCATTTGGTATAAGACAAACATTGATGAACAATAAAGCATAATAAAGCAAAAGAATTTGAAGACCTGCTAGCCCTATGGGAAGAATGAATTGCCTCACGGACAATCCCTGGGAATGGCACTGTCCCCAGTTTTACAAAGGCTAAATTTGGCAGCCTGTGGCAAGTCATAGTGGGTGTGCAGCAGAGCCAGAAGTGCACCCAGCCATATGGCTGTTTCTCAGCCTGCTCTTTGGGACTCTTACGGCGGTGGTGCTACTGAGTGCTGTCCCGACTGGACACCCCCCTGAGATGGTCTTGTCCTGCAAAACTGAGTTCACTCTTGCTGCTGTGAATTGCTTCTCTCCCTCATGTTGCTGTAGCAGCTGTGGCCCTCAGCTGGGTGACAAGGCCTCCTGGGGCTGCAACTGTGTTGGGTCATTGTGCGGTAAAGGCTTAACTCAGCAGGTGATACAACCCTGCACATTACAGAGAATAAACTGGCACTTGACCTGCTCAGCTCTTGGAATATCCTGCCTGTTAAAAGTGTCTTTGTTTACCTTTGGACCTTGGACCATGCCAGATAACTTGTCAACATGTGATTTATGGTGGGGATCTTGGGCCACACTCTTATCAGTTTGACCTCTGACGGGGCTGGAGACTGAGTGACTGAGGTCAGTCATGTGGGCACTCCATGCCAACGTGATCAACCCTTAGTAAATAAGGGTTGGGGGAGCTTCCCTGGTTGGTAATACTGTGTGTATTGTCATTTGTCGCTGGGAGAATTAAGCAGTCTACAGTTGTACCTGGTCTCTCCTGGACTGTGCCTTATGCACCTTTCACCTTTGTTATTTTATTTTTTTTTTTTTTTTTTTCCTTTTTGTATTTTTTTACTGACCGGCAATGGGATCGCAACCCTCAGCCAGTGAGCGGGAACTGGTCTCCACATGATCCGAACCCTCGGTGGGAGCGCCGCCACACTCCCAAGCGGTGCACTCTCCAGTGCGCCACCGGGCCGGCCCTGTTATTTTACTCTTTAATCTTAATCTGTATCCTTTCACTGTAATAAACCTTGAGTATATCAGTTTTTCTGAGTTCTGTGAGTCCCTCAGTGAACCTGAGGGTGGCATTGGGGACCCCTACACAGTAGTCTTTTTGCACTTTCAGAGTCTTACTGGTTTACTCATTCCCTGTCTACCTTGGACCCTCAGTGTGCCAGGTGATGGGGATACAAATACAACTGAGACATGTGTAAAGGAGCTTCCAGACCATGGTGGTTTCTGGATGAGGACATGGCCAATGACAATGCAATGCACGTGCTGTGGTGGGGCACGAGAAGGTGCTGACTCAGTCAGGGAGAGGTTACCCTGGAGCTGATCTGAAGAGAGAAACCAGAACGAACCAGACTGTCAGGGAAGAGGAAAGAGGTGGGTTTGGCTAATGCAGGCTGCCTGTGGGATGACAGTGGATGAGCCTGGAAAGATGGGCATGGTGGGTGAGCACAGGGGGCTGAGCTAGAGGCCAGAACTCACCCTGATAGCTGGAGAACACTCAAGCAGTATTACGTGGGAGAGTGAGAACAAGTGGATGGCTCCCGGTAGGCATTTAATGAACCTCTGGGTTGAGCAACAGATCCCAGTTCCTAGTTTGCCTTTTCCTCAAGTCAGCCAAGTGGCTTAACCCACTTCTTCAGGTGGAATCCAATTATCCCACTGTCTCCAAATGCTCAATAGGACTTTATATTCTAGAATTGCCTTTCAAAGTAAATACTTCTGGGCATATGCTGAAAGGGAATGAGGGACTTCTACCACCCTAGCCTTTTATTTTCATTCTGAAAAGTGAGTGGCTTCTAGCTGGGGGCCTGGGCAAGTGATTTAACCTCTCAAAGTCTCAGCTCCTGAGCTGGCCAGCCGGTTAGCTCAGTTGGTTACAGCACAGACTTAAAAAACTTATCACAGGTTTGGATCCCTTTACCAGCCAGCTGCCAAAACAACAACAACAAAAAACCCAAAAAACAAAAAACCAGTCTCAGCTCCTGATCTGTGGATTGGGGATAAAAACACTCAGCATCCCAGGGCTGCAGAGAGGGTGAAGGGCAGTACCTATAAAGTGCTTACAACCTGCTAAATAAAACCTTAGCTAACATCACTGTCCCAACTGATTTGGTGAAGTCCTCATGTTGAAGCTGAGAAATAAGATGCAAAATTTCCTTTTTAAAGAACTGGACTTTGTGACACATAACATTTCAGAATATAAAGCTTACTTTATGTGGGGGAAAAACAAACCCCAAAACCATATGGTCCAAGTTAAAACAGGGCACAAACTGCAAAAGCATCTTTTTAAAATAGATTTTTCCCCTTTAATTTCATTTTTGCCTTGGCAAAAACTTTGAAATAAGCTGCGTTCCAGTCCTGCTGAGAGGAAGCACGTTCACACTTGTGGACCTCCTGCCACCTGGTGGGCATCCACGGGAACCTAATGATGGAGAAGAACTGGGAGTGGCCATTACTCCCCTTGAAGGTTATGGGGATAAGGAAGACAAATCAAAGGCCCACGCCCAGCTTTCTCAACAGACCAGGTGACCCTGTAGGAAGACGTGTGTGAGGCAGGACAGAGGCTGCCCTACACAGGCCCTGAGCTCTTCACACTCACAGGGCCTCCCCCAGATAGAGGACAACACACCAAGGACAGATGGGAAGGTCTCTGGCACGTGCTCAGTTCACTGACGTACAAGCACCAAACAGTTGCTCAGGGTTTTCTGATACTCGCTGTATTGATATGGTCTCCCCCGGGAATGAATTCTCTGATGCTGGGCCAGGAATCTGCTTTGGCTGAAGGCTTTGCCGCACTCACGACACTCAAAGGGCTTCTCGCCAGAGTGCGTCCTCTGATGCAGTACGAGGGCTGTGGCCTCCTGGAAGGTTTTCTGACACACACAGCATATGAAGGGCTTGGCACCTGCATGGACACGCTGGTGCTGTGTGAGGTGTGTGCCCCGGCTGAAGGCTTTACCGCATACGTTGCATGTGTAGGGCCGCTCCCCGGTATGCACCCGGTAATGCTCGGTGAGGTGCGACATCTGGATGTAGGACTTGCCGCACTCATTGCACTTGTAAGGCTTCTCCCCAGTGTGCGTTCTCTGATGGAGGGTGAGAGATGAACTCTGCAGGAAGGCTTTTCCGCAGTCACCACACACGAAGGGCTTCTCGCCAGTATGGATCCGCTCATGCTGGGTGAGGAACTTGCTCTGGCTGAAGGTCTTCCCGCATTTTCCGCATGCGTAAGGACGCTCACCTGTGTGCACCCGCTGGTGTAGGACCAGGGCCGAGGAGTCGGTGAATGGCTTCCTGCACTCACTGCATGTGTAGGGCTTCTCACCGCTGTGAATCTTGAGGTGCTGAATCAGGTAGGAGCCCTGGCTGAAGGCCTTTCCACACTCTCCACACAGATAGGGCCGCTCACCCGTGTGTACCCGCTGGTGCTTGGCCAGGGACGAGCTCTGGCTGAAGGTGCGCCCACAGTCACCACATGAGTATGGCTTCTCACCCGTGTGTGTCCTCAGGTGCTTGCTGAGGGACGAGCTCTGGCTGAAGGCCTTCCCGCATTCCCGACACTCGTATGGCTTCTCTCCTGTGTGGCAGCGCTCATGTTCGGTCAGGGATGAGCTGAGGCTGAATGCCTTGCAGCACACACGGCACTCGTAGGGCCTCTCTCCCGTGTGGGTTCTGTGGTGGACAAGGAGGGCCGAGGAGTCGGCAAAGGCTCGGCCGCATTTGTGGCAGGCAAATGGCTTCTCCCCGGTGTGGGCTCGCTGGTGCTGCAGGAGGTGGCTGCTCTGGCTGAAGGTGCGCCCACACTCACCACATGTGTATGGCTTCTCACCTGTGTGCACCCGCTGGTGCTTGACAAGCGATGAGCTCTCACGAAAGCGCTTGCCACACTGGCCACACGTGTAGGGTTTCTCGCCCGTGTGGATGCGCCGGTGCTTGACCAGAGATGAGTTCTTGCTGAAGGCACGTCCGCACTCCCAGCAGGCATACGGCTTCTCGCCAGTGTGGGTTCTTTGGTGCTGAATGAGATGAGTGCTCTGCCCAAAGGCCTTCCCACACTCCTCGCATGTGTAGGGCTTCCTTCCATTGGGAACCTGCTGATAGCTCACGAGGCACGTGTTCTTGCCAAAGGCATCTTCCCACCCACTGCACACTGGGATGCCCTCTGCAGTGTGGACTCCTGGTGGCCAACTAAGGTCTGGGAAACAGCTGCAGGCTTCTCCACACACATCCTCTCTTTGGCAGGAGTAACCCTGATCTAAGACTGAAACGCATGTGAGGCCCTTTTTGAGGATGTGGTTTGAGGCTGGAGGAGTGTCCTGATGCTCAGTGACAAATGGGGGCCAGTGGAAACTTCCTGCAAGGCTCCGCTCCAGGTTCTTCTCCCCCTGGCTAAGCATCACTGCTTGGCAGCATCTTTCTGCTTCCTGGCCTTCACGCCCCACAACTTTTCTCAATATGGTGTGCCAGAAATCTTGCCCTTCGAGTCCCACTGTCATCCACCCACAAGGCAGACTGCCTTTGTCTGGGGCCAGCTGTTCAGCTAGGGTCTGAGGTTTTGAGTCTGAAAAACAAGCAAAGATACACATTCAAGGCCCAATCTGGATGTGTACTGCCCTTCGGGAGAGGATTTATAGAACCTTGGCTGTCAGACGGAGACAATAGAGTAGGCTGCTGGCCAAGACTGTGTGAATCTGCAGCTTTGAGAAGGGGCTCCTGTAATTGAGGAAGGGGACAGGGACTGAGGACAGAAGGGCAGGTAGGTCGGGGTCCCTCCCCTAGGACTCATGGGACTCAGCAAAAAGTTGTACTCACAGTTATGACTGATTACAGTGAAAGGACACAAAGCAAAACTAGATCTCCCTGTGGAGTCACACTGGATGCACTAAATTCTGACAACACATATGAAGCACTGTCTACTAGGGAAGCTTGTTAGAGACTCAGGGCCCAGTGCTTTATCAAGGGCTGTTCAGGTAGGCACTCTCCACCTGGCATGAACAAAAATTCCAGACTCCCAAGAAGAAGGTGTTTGGCATAAACCACACTGTTTGTGTAATACACAGTAAGTCACTCTTACCAGTTAGGGAATGGTGGGAACATCTCCTGAAACCTTAGTTCACAGACACCAGCCAAGGGCCAGCCTTGCCTCAGGCCTTTCTCAGGATGGCAGCCTCAGGTCTGCTCTGTTAACACTTTTCTGCAGGGGCCGGCCTGTGGCTCACTTGGGAGAGCGTGGTGCTGACAACACCAAGTCAAGGTTTAAGATCCCCTTACCGGTCATCTTTTTTAAAAAAAACACCACCAAAAAAAATCCCCTTTTCTGCACACACATCAGTGGGGAAGTAAAGTGGTGGAAGGAAGCACAGAAAAACACAGGTCAAAGTCACTAGAGCCACTACACCTGTCAGGTACCACCGTGGCTGTGTCACAACCATCCCCTCATTGAAGTAGGGCTTGGCTCTCAGCAAACATGCATCAGCTATGTACAGGATGCCCACATCACGACCTCAAAAAACGTGAGATATTTTAGGAGACCTGGGCCTCAGGAAACGTCAGCAATGTGCCCACTATCGTCCAGCTAATGAGTGATGGTGCTATTTAACTGAGGTGTGAGACCTGGTGTGGTAGGCTGGAAGAAAATGGACCCCCAAAGGTATATTAACATCCTAATTCTCAGAACCTATGAGTATTACTATATTAATTTGCTAGAACTGCCATAAGTATCACAAACTGGGTAGCTTAAAACCACAGAAATTCATTCTCTCACAGTTCGAGAGGCCAGAAATGTGAAATCAAAGTGGCAGCAGGGTTGGTTCTTTTTGGAGGCCCTGAGAGAGAAACCATTCCATGCCTCTCTCCTAGCTTCTGGCAGGTCCTAGCAATCCTTGGCTTGTTCCACGTCACTCCAATCTCTGCCTGTCTTCACATAGCCTTCTGTAGGTCTCTCCATGTCTTCTCCTTTTCCATCTCTTGGAAGGACACCACTCTAAATCCAGGATGATTCTTCTCAAGATCTTTAATTAATTACATCTGCAAAGACCTCATTTCCAAATAAGGTCACATTCTGAAGTTCAAGTGGACCTGAAGTTTTGGAGGATATTATTCAATCCACTACAATTGCCTTATATGCTAAAAGAGTGAATATTACCGTATATGACACCCCCCAAAAGTGATTAAGTTAAGGATATTGAGAAAGGGAGTTTATTCTGGATTATCCAGGTGGGCCCAAAATGTACTCACATGTGCCCTTGGAAGAGAGAAGCAGTGAAGAATTTTGAGAGACAGAGAAGAGAAAGTAATGAGAAGACAGAGGCAGAAACTGGAGTGAGGCAGCCACCAGAAGTCGGAAAAGGCAAGGAATGTGTTCTCCGCTAGTGTCTGGAGAGCGTGCAGTCCTGTCAACACCTTAATTTCAGCTCAGTGACATGGATTTTGGAATTCTGGCCTGTCACTTCTGTGAGAATGTATTTCTGAAAAAAAAAAAAAAGGGCCGGCCCAGTGGCGCACTGGAGAGTGCGGCGCTCCTGCCGAGGGTTCGGATCCCATGTGGAGACCGGTTCCCGCTCACTGGCTGAGCGTGGTGTGGGTGCAACACCGAGGGTCGCGATCCCGCTGCCGGTCCCCGGTACGGGCGCGACACCGAGGGTTGTGATCCCGTTACCGGTCAGTAAAAAAGACAAAAAGGAAAAAAAAAAAAAAGAATGTATTTCTGTAGTTTTAAGCCACCCAGTTCGTGGTGGTTTGTTACAACAGCCACAGGAAACTAATATACCCTGTGGTAATAGGAGGCCAGAAAGACTCCTAGTCCCAGGACCTGAGTGCAGAGAAGCGAGGGTGGGTACAGGGTCAAAGTGAGCACATTTCACATAAGACAGACCTCCTCGAGTGAACATTGTTGTCTTCCATGTTCCATGTTCTGATTGCTTGGAGGGAGGAGGTCAAGGAAAGAAACCGATCTTCAGCACCCCCCACTCAAGGCCAGTGCACAGCATGTCTCCTACTGTGAATCTACAAGGCACTGACTAACCAATCAGCATCCACCCTGCACCAGGCCCCACCCTCTGACCCTGTGCTTGAGCCTGGGTCAGGCGTGAGAATGAAAACCACTCCCACTATTCCCCAGAGCCTGGTGCTCCTTCTTAGACTACAAGGGTCAGGGGCAGAGCACTAGGGAGGTGGCACAGTAGAGGGAAGGGAACACACATGCCCCCGTGCTAGGGTTGAGTATTGGGAGCTTATCGGAGTTCACACCATGGACCTCATGGGGCTATGGTGAGAATGCTTCAAGATAACACGTGTGTACGGGCCTCTGAGAGTCTGTCCCATGTCACTATCTACTACCTGGAGGCCTTGGTTCCTGTCTGAAAACTGATGTGATATTCTTTTTTTTTAGTGGCTGGCTGGTATGAGGATTTGAATGCTTGACCTTGGTGTTCTAACTCCACCCTGTAACCAACTAAGCTAACCAGCCAGCCTGAGGATGAATTTTGAAAACATACTCATTGAAAGAAAACAGTCACAAAGTACTACTTAATGTATTTATATGAGAAATATATGAACTTATATGTATTTATGTGATAAAGTTATATAAACTCCCTTTATATGAGATGTCCAGAACAGACAAATCATAGAGAAAAAAAGCAGATTAGTAGTTGTCAGGGGCTGGGGGCAGTGACTGCTTAATGAGTACAGGGTGTGTTTGGGGGCACTTTCCCCTTGGATACACACTGCATCTCCCTGCCCCATCTATGAAGAGGAGAAATAAACCCACTGATCTGATAAGAGAAACCCTCACTTCACTTACCTGGACCTCTTGGAACATCTCTCTCCATAGTCCAGGGGTCTTCCCATTGCTCCAGCTTGGAGATCACGTCTGGTTTGGAATCAGGAAGTCCTGTCAATGGTGAGAAAAGAGGAGGAAAATGTTGATGCTGATGTTCCAAGTCAGCCAGGCTCTAACATGGGCCGAACATTGCGGTGTATGTACCGAGGCTCAGGAAAGGTCTCTCCTTGGTGATGTGGGGTAGGGGGTCAGTCTCGGCACAGAGGGGACCTGGCTGGTGAACACAGGTCAGAGCAAGGACACACCTGGGTGTGAGTAACTGAGAACAAGGCAGGGGATAAATACACACACACGTGAGTGACATGGATGAAGAGGAGATGGGGAGGCCTCACCCAGGGACACCAGGTTGCTGTAGTTCCTCAGCATCACATCTCGGTACAAGATCCTCTGTGCTGGGTCCAGCAGTCCCCACTCCTCCCTTGTGAAGTCCACAGCCACATCCTTAAAGGTCACTGGCTTCTGAAACATCACACACACGTCAGTTCAGCCACAGGCCGTGCCTGACCAGGGCCAGTCCCGAAGGGAATGGCAGGACATGATCTGGAAAATTCCCTGTTGTCATGGGGGCATTCATACTCTGAGTGACCTATGCCAAGAGGTGGTGCCATTATAACTGCGATACTGTGCTGGGTGCTATCCCACTTCATGATGTATTATGGATGAGATGTTTGCGTGCCCCCAAAATTCACACACAGAAGCCCTAGCCCCAATGTGGTGCTATTTGGAGTGAGGCCTTTTGGAGCTTCCAGAGGCCCCTAAACTGAGCATTGCTAGATTTAGCAAATAATAATATAGGACACCCAGTTAAATGCGAAGTTCAGATACACAACAGATAATTTTTTTGTTTTGTTTTTAAAGATGAGCGGTAAGGGGATCTTAATCCTTGACTTGGTGTTGTCAGCACCACGCTCAGCCAGTGAGCGAACCGGCCATCCCTATGTGGGATCCGAACCCGTGGCCTTGGTGTTATCAGCACCGCACTCTCCCGAGTGAGCCACGGGCCGGCCCAAGAGTGAGGCCTTTTGGATGTATTGAAGTGTAGGTGAGGTCATGAGGGTGGGAACCCCATGATGGGATTACTGCCGTTAAAAGAAGAGGAATGAGACCAGAGCCCTCTCTCTCTGTGCCACGTGAGGACACAACAAGAAGGCGGCTGTCTGCAAGCCAGGAAGAGGATCCTCACCAGAACCCAACTCTGCTGACACCTTAATCTTAGATTTCCACACTTCAGAGCTGTGAGAAATAAATGTCTATGGTTTCAGCCACTCAGTATGTGGTGTTTTGTTACAGTAGCCCAAGCAGACTAAAACATGAGATTCCTCATCACCTCCCCTAAGTGCTCAGCTCAGACGATGTCCCTCACCAGCCCCTCTAATTGTGTCACACCTATGTGGTCTTCATCTCCTTCAGGGCTGGGCCGGGGAGTCCTAGGGGCCAGGATAGTGTCTGCGCCATCCCTAATGTGTGCCTCAGTGCCAGCAAGTACCCCCAACCCAGCCTTTCCTGCCATTGCACCAGCACCCTCAGACTCTGGGATAGAAACTGTCTAAGCCCAGTTCAGAGACCTGACTCAGGCTTTGGGGCCAGACCCAGCGATAATGACAGTCCCTCTGCCCATGTGTGGTGTTTCCTTGGAGACCCCATGGAGAAGGCGCTTCATGTGTGGCAACAGTGATTTTAGAACCCCAACATTCCTTTCTTAACACCCAGAGCCCCCACCCTCCATCTGGACACCAGCTGCAGGAAGGCAGTGGTTCCATGCCACCATTTGCTCATTCATCCACTGCTCTCTCTCAGGGTCTAAGCACAAATGCCAGGCACTGCTCTGCCCCTTTCCTGGACACTTGCTGATAAACAGCATGGTCACAAAGAGCCCCTGTGCCCCAGATCTGCCCAGAGGTAGGTCCCTGCACCCATTTTCTCATCTCTAAGCCCCACCCTGGGGTTAACTGGAGGAGGAGCAGAAGGAGGGGCCCTGCCCCAAGACTAGGGGGTGGGTAGTAGAAGTGCCACAAGAATGGGAGATGGAAACAAATGTGCATGCTGAGCACACAGACACAGGGAAAACTCACGTGGACAGCATCTGCTGGGTGTGTGGTGTCCTGGACATCTGGCTGGTTCTCCTCGATGCTCCCCTGAGACAGAAGAGCTGGAGGAGAGGAGAGAGCATGAGTGAGGCCAGACCTGCCCCCAGGCCCTGCAGGCCCCCAGACACTGGCCTATTTCTCAGGGGCCCCAGTCATCCTAGTCCAGACCTGTCCTGGGCCTGCTCTCTTCTGCTCACCCTTCAGGGCTCCCAACATTTACTTATGTGCCATGTAGGCTGTGGTCACCTTATAGTTATTAGCCCACTTGATCTTCGCTCCGCCCCGAGTGAGGCAATGCTATGAGATTCATTTTATGGGAAGGAAACTGAGGCACTGAGAGGGTAAGATGCTTATCTAAGTTGAGCTTTTTCAGAGAAGCAACCCCCTGCCCCATCCCTGCCCTGGACCAGACCTCCAGCCAAGATGGTGAGGCTTGTGGAGAAGACAGTGTCCATGTGGACAAATGGGGTGATTTATGTACCCCAGTGAAAAAGGCGTCCATGTGGACAGTGATGGGGTGACCCATGTCCGCCAGAATTAGTCCGGGGATGTGGTGCCCTGTCTGGGCACTGGTGCAGGGGTCCAGGGAGCCTCTGTGGATCCGGCATGATCCAGGGAGGATGCAGCTCAAAGCTGTGGCTCCACTGTATGCTGCTAACTAGCCATTTCCTGGCTCTAGGCCTGTTTCCTCAAGGTACAATAAGGACAGGCTCCCAGGAGAACAGGATGACATCCCTCCATGGAAAGACTTTGTGAAACAGCCAACAGATACCTCATGGCATCCTTGCTGACTGAAGCCATGCCACCTTCACACCTACCTTCCTCTCCCGGCACCCAGGCAGGAGAAAGGGGTCACTGGGCTTGGGGGCTCCACAGAAAGAGGCTTGGAGGCCAGGCTTCAGACCCCTGCCTCTAAAACAGGGAGCTGTTCCCATAAGACACCCCACATCACCTGGGTCTAGGCTGAGTCCCCACGGGCAGCCACAGCTGCCTGTGCTGCCACTCCACCCATGCTGTGAACTTCTTGAGGGCTCCCTGTGAGATGCTCCCTGAGTTCCCTAACAGGGACAATGGGTTGGGGTGTGGCAGTGTGTACCCTGCTAGCCAGGTAAGGGGATACTATAGATTGGATGTCCCCTTCCAACCTTGTTGAAACTTAAATCCCTTCTGTAACTATTGGGGTGGGAAATCCTATTACAGTAATTAAAAGGTGGTGCCTTGAAGAGGTGATTAGATTGTAGGAACATCCATAGTGAATAAATTAATATGGTGGTCAGGGGTGTGGTTCTGAGGGTTTTAGAAGGAAAGTGCATGAGGAACTCTCTCTTTGCTCCACCATTTTCTGCCATGTGAGACTCCTGCATTGCTGTAGAGCCACTACCAAAGAAAACCCTCACCAGAGGTGTTCCCTGGACTTTGGACTTCCCAGCCTCTGAAACTGTAAGCAATAAAATTTGTTTTCTTGGAAATTACCCAGTTCCAGACATTTTGTTATAAGCAACAGAAACGGACTAATATAGGAGAGCTGCTTCCTCTGAGAGACAGTAGCCGGTCACTTTTCCTGAGCACCTCCTGCATGTCAGGCCACGCAGCAAGCACCTCTGGTGACACTCCTGACCAACCAAAATGGAGGTACCATCATCACACTTTTTACAGGCTGGGAAAGAGGGGCACAGAGAAGTTAAAAGTTGTGCAAGTGCCTGGCAGGCAGGGATTTGAACTTTTGAGCCTTCAAAAAGGTATTTCTTTTTTCTTTTTTTTTTTTTTACAGAGGCATAAGTGCTCAGCTCAGTGAGTTCAGCAGATGCACATGCCTGTGAAACTACCATCCAATCAAGCTCTAGAACATTCTGAGTGGATGGAAACATTCTGGAGCAGTGCTGTCTAATACAGTCCATCAGCCCCATGTAGCCCTGACCGCTAGAAACATAGCTGGCGTGACCGGGAAACTGAAATTGTAGTTTCATTTGAATTTTTTTTTTTTTCCTTTTTGTCTTTTTTCGTGACCGGCAACGGATCGCAACCCTCAGTGTTGCGCCCGTACCGGACCGGGACCGGCAACGGGATCGCAACCTTCGGTGTTGCGCCTGCACCTCGCTCAGCCAGTGAGCGGCCGGTCTGTATGTGGGATCCGAACCCTCGGCGGGAGCGCCACCGCGCTCTCAAGCGGCACACTGTAGCAGTGCGCCACCGGGCCGGCCCCATCATTTGAATTTAACTAATCACAGCTACCATACACATCGCACAGCTCAGGTGTGGGGCGTTTCAGCACCACGGACAGCTCTCCCTTAGTGACCCAGCCAGAGAAGGTGCCTGGGCCCAGAGACAATTACTGCTGGGATTTCTGACCCCACCCATAAGTTTTGCTTATTCTTGAACTTCATGCAAAGTGAATTATGTTCTCTATAACAGTCTGAGGCCTCAGCTCAACACCACCCAGCTTCACCATGGTGGTCACAAGAAGCTACTACGGGAATACTTTGTGTGGAGACAAAGTGAGATACTAGGTGGGTGAGTGCTCTCACGAGAGAAAATCAATGGTCCCGGCTGTCCCAAATTCAGGTCCTGATGGAGATTCTTTGGAGAAAAGGGCTGAGGTGAGGCCCTTTTGCTACTTCCCACAGAGGGAAGGGTATTGAGCACACCCCTGGGGTCCGGATTTTCCCAGTGTCCACACCTACCTCCCCATCTCGCTCCTAAGCTGGGAACACCAAGCGTGATGGATAATACATGGAGTCTGTCAGATCTAGGATGAAACCCACCTTCACCACTCTCTGCTGTGATCCTGGGCTGCTCATTTCCCATGAGGTCTTGGTTTCCTATGAGCAAAATGAGGTAATAGTACCTCCTGTGGAAGGCTGTCTGCTCATTCATTCATTTAACAAATATTCCATGGGCTGGGAACCACATCATGAAACTCAGTCTATGATGAGTGGAAACAAGCATAAAATCTTCAAATGTGGTAGCACATAATGTGGGTGTGTATGGCACCTATTTTGGATCAGGTTGCCAGGGAGGGCCTCTGAGGAGGTGACAGCTGAGTGACTCCACTGAGTTGCCTGAAGAGAGCAGGAAGCATGCCAGGCAGAGAGAGAGAGCTGTGTAGCTGAGGCCTGCAAATGCAGAAATCTGGTAACACAGGACCTGGAAGGCATGGGAAGAAGTGCAGATTTGTCTCAAATGAGGGGCCATCAAACTCTGGCCTGTTTTTGTATGGCCTGTGAGCTAAAACTGGTCTTTACATTTTTAAGAGATTAGAATAAGGAAAAAAAGATCAAAAGAATAATAATGTTATGTGAAACTCAAATTTCAGCATCCATCAATAAAGTTTTGCATTCTACCAATAAAAAAATGTGTGGATGTGTGTTTTCTCTCTTATTAGGTAAGTACCTACATGACATCCTTGATTTTGCCTCTGGGCCTGCAAAGCTCTAAACATTTAGAGGAAGAATTTTCCAGCCATGCTCTGATGGCCTGACCAACGATGGAACGTTTAAAGGGAGGAGTGGCCTCACCATTCTGGGTTTAAGGACCCCTTGCCCCACCCCCTGCTGTGTGGAGAGTAATGGAAGGGGCAATGGGAGGTAAGAGACGCATGAGGAGGTGGTGGCCTAGATCAGGCTGAGGAGGGCAGGGCAGTAAAGTGAAAGTGGCAGGAGCAGAGTGTGTTTTAGAGACAGATATCGTTTCTGAAAACATCTAGCCCTGTGTCTGCCACCTATACCACTGTCATCACCACCCCACCATCCGCCTCACCTGCTACCTTAGGTTCCATCACCTGATCCTCTTGCTCTGTCTCCAGACTGCTTGGCCAGGCTACAGGGTGGTGGTGGTGGGGCGTGGTCTCAGTCCTGGGCAGAGGTCCCAGGTTTCCGGTGACTCTTGCAAGGATAGGGTCTTGTTTTCAGAGCCACTGCTGCCTTCCCTCTATTTACACACAGTGGTGGGGTTCCAGGCTGCTGGCTTTGACCTAGGGGACCCAGGGCTGGCATTCTGTAAAATGAAGTACGGTTGGTGATCACAGGCAGCAAGAAGCAGATGTGGTCAAAGCTATGTGCACAGGTGCTTTTGGGACAGAAACACAGATACACCCAGGCCAGATTCTCCACAACCTAGGTCCTACTAACTGCCTCCTCCTCTCAAAAACCTGTACGTGAATGCTCGCAGCAGCATTATATATAATATTAGAAGAGTTAGAAACAACCCAAATGTCCATCAACTTATGAATGGGTAAACAAACTATGGTATATTTATACAATGGGATATTAAGCCACAAAAAGGAACAGAGTATTGAAACGTACTACAACGCGGATAAACTTTGAAAATAGTATGCTCGGGGGGAAAAAAGCCAGACACAAGAAACCACATGTTGCACGACTCCATTTACATGAAGTGTCCAGAACAAGCAAACCTACAGACAGAAGGTAGATGAGTGGCTGCCAGGGGCTGGGGGAGAGTGACGGGTAAGGGTTATAGGGCTCACTCACACACCTGAGGTCAGTCCTGCACACACAGGTGGTATCAACACATGCAGGACACCCCTCCACTCTGGTATGCACACGCGGGGTGACACACCCAGCCACACGCACACACCTAGGGTCACACCTGCACACACAGACGGTTTCGCAGACGCAGGAAGTCCCGTCACCGACGTAAGCGCGGTGACAGTCTACCGGAGACGTATACCTGAGGTCTCGCCCCCGACCCCACAAGCGCACGCGCACTCGGCCCACTCTCCCCGCCCCCACGGCCAGGCAGCCCCCGGATCCGCGGTCCCGTCCCGGGTCTCAAGAGCCCACTCAGTCACTCCCAGCGCATACACACTCGGGCCACGGGCGCCTCCTCGTCCTTCATACTCACATTCGCCGCACCACCGGAACCGTGGACTCGTTACAGTTGCAGTCTGCTCAGACAGCCGGACAGCGCGACAGCGCGACAGCCCGAGCACCAGCCGCACAGCGCACACCGGCTGCGGGCACTTCCGGCCCGCACTTCCGCCGGGCTGCCCAGGACTTCATCTCCCCGAAGGCCCTGCGCGCAACGTGCTGGGAACCGGTCGGGCACGGGATGCATGGCCTCCTGGGAAATGTATTCCAGAGGGCGACCCTGTCAGGAAGGGAGCGTGGGAAACGGCCAGTTCCGCACAGGCAGCCCAAGGGAATGGAAGTATATGGACATGCGTAGTTTTGTGTGTTCTTTCAAATATACAGCGTATGCACTTCTTTTTTTCTCTAAGCACACATACACGTATGCACATAAACATAAAAATATATAGTTAGGGGATCTTTTCCTTTACCCTGAACCCTACATATCCCTCAACGGATGTCCCTCAAGAACACCCACCCAAGAAACAACGCTGAAATGTATTACTTAATCCAGTCATTTTGCTAACTTCTCCAAATGTCCCAATAATGTATGTTTTTCATATTTTATTCAAACGCAAATTATAAACCACATATTACATTCTGCTGTCCCATCTGGAGTTGGCTTCAATCTAGAATAGATCCTTAGTAGTTTTGTAAAAAACGATCTTGACATTTTTCGTGTATCCAAGCCAGTTTTCCAAAATGTCCTCCAATTTACATTTGCTGGCACAGAGTATAAATCATAACCAGACTTTACACACTATTTTTTCCACTGACACTTCATAAAAAATTTTTTGAAAAATTTTAAATGACTACATAGTGTTACATTGTATGAATTTACCATTTCTTCACTCCTCCCCGTGGCCTCCAAACATGGCTGGAAATTGAGCAACTATAAACACGTGGAATGAAACATCCCTGTGCATTCTTTTTTCTGTATGTCCGTGGTTACCTAAAAATAGGTAGGCCCTGTGTGATTCAATCACCTCCCTTAAGGGATGTCCCTGGGTACAATGAGGGACATAAAAATTTCACCCATACACAGAAGGCCTGTGTGACCTGGTGAAGATCCTTGATGTGCAGGCTGACCCGGGTGACCCTGCCCCATTCCCTTTTCCTCTACAGTCAGATAATCACAAGGGGGATTTAAAGTCTTCTCGGCCACCTATCTTTAGACCAGCACCATACAACAGAACTTTTGGCTATGATGAAAATGTCTTACAGCTAGTGAAAGCTGAAATGTGGCTAGTGACTGAGGAAGTGAACTTTGTATTTATTTAATATAAAGTTACATCTAAATAGCTACGCATGGATTGTAGATCAGACAGTGCATTCTAGCAGATGCTCACATTGGATCTCTTACAAGAGATCTATGGGAGATTGCTTTTCCGATTGCATGCAGATTTCTTCCCAGTTACCCTTTGCAGAAAGGACCTGAATACCTCAGAGGACGTGCAGAGATAACACTGGAAATAGGCGGCTTGGCTGTTGGCCAGGACTTGTGTGTAGGGGTCTCTGATAATTTGGGCTGGTTAATACAAGGAATTTAATAAAGTAACTTGGAAATTTATGTGTGAGGGATGGCCGGTTAGCTCAGTTGATTACAGCACGGTGTTATAACACCAAGGTCAAGGGTTTGGTCTCTGAACTGGCCAGCTGACCAAAAAAAAAAAGTAGGAAACTTTATCTTACATCTTTGGTATCATCAAGGAGTTGAAGCTGTCTTATACTCAACTGGTTCTGTTAATTGAACATATACATATACGAAACAAACCAGGTGTGACCAAGATACACAGTCCCTGTTCATGTGGTCATTCTGGTGGAGGGAGGCAGACAGTAAACAATGAAACAAATCATCAAGCTTTAACTTGAAAGAGTTGAGATTTTTGTTTATTTTTTGAACTGGTAATATTTTTACATGTTTCAAAATTCCAAAATAGAAAAAGATATAGATTGAAAATTATTCCTCATCCTTGTCCCCCTATTTCTCCTCCCCGAGGTCAACCAGTATGCCTGCTTACTTTTTTTTTTTTTTCCTGACCGGTAAGGGAATTGCAACCCTCGGCACGGTGTCATCTGCACCACGCTCAGCCAGTGAGCACACCGGCCATCCCTACATAGGATCCGAACCCGCGGCCTCAGCGCAACCAGTGCTGCACTCTCCTGAGTGAGCCACGGGGCCAGAACCCTGCTTACTTTTTACCCTTTCAGAGTTAGTGTGTATAAGCAACTGCTCCCTCTTTACAAAAATGGAAACATACTATACAGTTTAACACCTTGTTTTTTTCACTTAACTATATTGCGGTTCTTTCCCACATTAATATATAAAGATGGTCTCCATTTTTAAGGCTGTTATCTCCATTCCACCATAAATTACTCAGCCAGTTCCCCATGGTGGACATGAAGTTTTTTTTCAAATTTTTACTTTTAATATCAATAGCATAATGAAAACCATGTACAAAAAGTCTGCATACATACAAATATATCTATAGAATTCATTCCCGGCAGGTTTGCTAAAACAAAGGGTTTGATAAACTGCCCTCCGCAGAAATTCTATCAATTCTTACTTACACTGGAAATGCATAGGAAACAGCCCTATGCCCTTTGAAAAAACTCAAGGCTGGTAAAACACTGGGTGGAGGACACATGTTACAATCCTTCTGAAAGGTAATTTAAAAAGATACATGAAATTCATTGGGAAAAATCCTCAAACCATAGAAGAAGCACATGTTACAAGAGAACTAGAAGGATTCCAAATTTCTAAACACAGATAATTATACACATATATATTCGTCTATGTATATATGATCTAGTGTACCATATATGTATGTGTATACTCACACATGTATATTTTAAGAAAAAATTGCAAGAAAAATTAGCAAAATCTTAATGGCAATGACCATCTCTGAATAGCTTAAGTATGAGGAATTAAATGTTAAATGTTTTCATACTTTTTCACACTTTTTTGCATTTTCCAAGTTTTGTTACAAAGAATTTGTGATACTTTTCTAAACAGAAAAAAACCGTGTTTTTTCCCTAGTTTACAGTAATTTCCCCTGAGGATTTTCTTATCCATTTCTAAATATCTACAAGGAAATCAGCAGGAGTATGATGCCTAGAAAATGTGAACCGAGGTTGGCCAGTTAGCTTGGTTGGTTAGAGTGTGCTGCTGCTAACACCAAGGTCCAGGGTTTGATCCCTGTACTCCAGCCACTCTGCTCCCCACTCCTCCCCCACAAAAAAGGAAAGAAAATGTGAACTGATACAAGAAATGGAAAATATGCAAAGATTTCCATTGCTGTTCCTTCTGCTTGATGTGCTTGATTCTAACTTACCCAGTGGGACTCTGTAACCTCAGCTGACCCAGCATTCACACTGAGAAGTGTCAAAACATTCACTTGAGGATCTGCCATTTTGGAGGCCAAAGTAGGGGAATGAAGCAATCACAGGCCAGGCTTCTAGAGTTATCTAAAACCATGATGTTACTGCTGGGTGCCCCCTCTCCAGAGGATTCCCAAATCCGCACCCCACACCTGGTGGGGTGGAAAGGAAGAATGGTCAAAAGTGGGGTTCTGGTGTCAGGCTGTCCAGCTCATATCCTGGCTGGGCCACTCAGTAACATGTCACTTTCTTTCTTGGGGCCATCTTGCACTGGCAGTATTAGTGTGGACAGGATGGATTGAACAGATCCAAGGTGATCAAGATAATAAAGTCAAAAGGACCTCTAACTTCTTATGGAGTGAGGAAAGGGAAAAGGCCAAGGAAGACTTATTTTTGGCTTCAATAATGGCATGGATTGCAGGTGGCAACAGCCCCCATGAAAGGGACTAGGGGGTTGGAGACATGTTTGGATGGGACGAGAGTTTTGTTGTGGGTAGGCTGGGTTCCTGGAGTTTATGGCACATTAAGGGGCAGCTGCCCAGCAGCAAACAACTGCTGTCTGGGCCTGAAGCTCAGAACTCAGAAGGACCAGATACTCAGATTTGGGAGTAGGTAGCACAAAGCCAGGGGTGTGTATGATACTTCGGGAGGGACTGGAGTACAAGATAGGCCCCCAAGACAATGATCCAGGGACTCCAATATTTAAGAGGGGTGATGGGAGGACAAGAAGCCCCTGAGGAGGTGGAAGGAATCCTAGAACACAAGGGGGTGGAGGCTTGCGAGAAGGAGGTCAGCTGGCTAGACAATCCAGGAGATGAAGACGGATGATGCCAAGAGGTGGTGGCACATGAGAGTGGGCACAGCAGTTTCTGTGAAGTAGCAGGGGCAGACAGACGGTGTGAGGTGTGACGTGGCACCAAGGAAATGGGGGACTACAGGTGATTCTTCTAAGAGACTGGACATATCACCCACTTCTTAAGACCTTTCTCTCTTACCAGTCTCCACCACAGAAATTAGAAAAGCTAAATACTAGCTTTCCATGGCCCCTTGTTATTAGGGGTGGCTCTGTGATCCAGCCTTGACCAATGAGGCATAAGTGGGCATGTGCTGGCAGCTCTGGGAAAGCCTTTTCTTTGAAACATCAGTCTTGATCGCAGATGTATGGCTGGAGCTGTAGACATCTCCCTGGGACCATGAGGAAAAGGTTGAGAGAAAAGCACAAAACACTGGCTCTGACATAGCCAGGCCGCTGAAAAAGACAGCCTTCAAACAAAGCCTAATTTGTTGAAGCCACTATCAACTGGGTGTTGACATCAAATACTAAGTCCACCCCTTCTTAGCTGTATAACCTTTTGTTACTAGTAACTTTTGTCCTATGCCTAATTTTCCTTGTCTGTAAAATGGTACTGCCTCACAAAACTATTATTGAGGCATGTTTGTTTGAAGATGCACTTTTTCTTAGCTATGTAGATGGAAGGTTATCTGTTGAGAATGAAATGGAAGGTGGTGGAGGCCAAGGTATGAGGGCAGAGTCTCTGTGAAAAGTGAGACCTGAAAAAGGAAACATGTGAGGACAACCCCAGAGGAAAAGGTGAGTGCAGAGAAATATACCCGGAGCATCAGCAGAGTCTTGCAGACCCTCTAGAGATGAATTGCAAAGCTGTCTCCAAGCATCCTGGAAGCCACCTCTGCTCCAATGGAAACCCCATCAGTTGTGACACTCCCAGCATCCAAAGAACAAAAACGGACACAGGAAGTTCTGATGGCAGTAAGTTCTGATGCTCAACCATTCCAACACAGTTATTAGAACTGCCGCTATATTTTTCCAGGATGAGCATTCTTCCATTCAACTCTACACCCTGTCAATCCGGCATTCCTTCTGCAGTTCATTTTCAGGAACCAGTTTTTGCATCCTGAGATATGCCACAATCCATTTTCCTTCTTTCCAATTTTTGATGCTGATGGTATGTTTAACTTCACTAGAGTGCAACTGCAGTGGGAAAACCCAACAAAAGAGTGACCTGGTTAAAGCTGTGCATTAACAGGCAACTGTTCTGGATAACTGGACCATATGACTTAGTGTCCTGGTGGAACAGGCATTCGGCTGTAGCTATGGCTCACGAACAGTCCATAATTTGTTTCATTTTAGCTTAGAAAGTAGGCAGGTTTAAATCCTTTGTTTTTATATCCCTAGTGCTACAAGACACCAAGGACCACACCCTTGATGCACAATATTCTTTTATGCCAAGAATGGCATGGATAAAGGTCAGAAACCCTTGCTTTCCTCAGGAGAAAACTTGGAGGAAAGCAACACAATGATGAAGGTGAAGTTTCCCACTGTGGACAGTAAAATGGTCATGTTAGAATATCCTGCTTCATATACAAACATGAATTAAAGTCTGGCTTTTCCTGGCATTGACAGTGGAGAGAAAGGTCTTCTAGTGGTCCTCCAGCAGAGGCCCCATGCAAGGTCGGGAGATGAGCTTTGAGAACAGTGGGAATCACATGACTTCATGAGGCCCCTCAGCACAGCTCAGTGGCTTGTTGATGAATCAGAAGTCATTCCACCAGGCCAAAGCAAGGAGGGTATGTGACGCACAGTCTGGGGGGGTGGGGGGACGGACAAAATTTAGGTTATTCTGTTTTTTTTTTCAACAAATATAAGACTAAAAAAGAGTGGGATTAGAGATTTTAGAAGGAAAAATATCAACCAAACGCATTGTGTGGCTCTCCTTTAGATCACGATTAGAACAAAACAAATAGAAAACAAAACAAAACAAAAAATTTGAGGCAACCAGGGACATTTGAATACTAGATATTTGATATGTTTAAATGTGATAATGGCAATATAGTTTTACTTGAGGTTTAATAAAACTAACAATTTTTTCTGTTTCATTACAGACATTAAGTAAAATAAGCACTTTTTTTTTCTTTACTACAATGCCCAGTGGGGAAGATATAAAGCATAACTTCTGGGCCACTGCCCTGATGTGAACTCAGGCCCAGCAGTTTTATCCACTGTTGCTGTTGTACCATCAGTGCACAGCAAACAAGGCAAATTATGGCTCAGTATGATTACCAAAATGGTTTTGTGTTTGTGGACCAACATGGTTATATATATTTTTAAAGTCCTTGCCGTTCAGAGATATATTCAGAAATATGGATGAAATAATACGACTTCTGGGACTGATGTGAAAATATTCCACTGGCCAGAGAGGGGTAATGAGGTGGGTACCAGTGAAAATATATTATTCACGTTTTAAAATGTCCACAAAAAATGTTAAAAGATTTTTCAGAAAAATAAGTGGATTCTCTTCTTTTCTTCACATCAATTATGAATGCTGCAAAATGGTAAAGGATTTACTACAAGGTACACTGTGTATAAATTAGCTAATGACACCATTTATTAAAATGAAACTTATATGAGTACCAGCTGGCTGCCAAAACAAACAAACAAACAAGCAAAAAAACCCAAGACACAGACAAAATTATATAATTTGTTAGGACAACCCTGACCAATCAACTTGTAGAATTTGGAAAATGTTGGCTTTAGGGCTGGGTGGGTTTATACCAGGGCTTCTCCATCTTGTTATTACTGACAATCAGAGCTAGATAATTCTTTGTTGAGGAGCTGTCCTGGGCACCGTTGGATGTTGAGCAGCACCCCCAGCCTCTACCAACTAGGTTCCAGTAGCACCCTTCCCCCACTCACGGCAAACAAAAATGTCTCCAGACATCCCCAAATGTCCCCTGGGGGCAAAAGTACCCCCAGTTGAGATCTTCCGGCTTATAGCAACATTGGATGCTCTGAGGCAGTGGTTTTTAACCAGAGCTGTGACCCTCCTCCCAGTGAATATTGCAGAATTTCATGGGGGCTTCTTTGTCACACGATTTGGGGCAAGAGGGATATGAAACGTGGGTGGGAGCCAAGAGTGCTGCAAAGACCCTGAGGCACAGAACTGGTCACAGTGGATCATGCACATAGGGGTGAAATAACTTGTTTGCAATACGAGGGTATTTCAAAAAGTTTGGGAAAAAACAGAATTAAAAGTAATATGAATCTTTCCATGAACTTTTTGAAGTATCCTCATATATGAACTGAGATCCTAACTCGAATTTACATATAAACACAAATTAATTGCTGCATGCTTGAAATTTACACAACGTTTTCCAGAAATTCAAGTTAGTCACTACTTTGGAAAATCACATCCCATGCAGGAATGCCCCTCATGGTATTTCCATAGCCAACACTGTACACCATATGAGTTGCAAGCAACAGGCTATTGGCCTGGGTCTCCTGGTGTAACTGGGCCCACACAGACAAGGTAAGATATCACACCCACCCAATACACAATACTTTATCACATTACCATACATTACTTTCATTTTAATTACCCTTTACAAAGGATACTGTATATTGATTTTTTGACATCACGTGTATGGGTAGGTTATATTACCTCTGAACTCATTTTGGAATATTTAACGGAGGGAACATCACAAAATATCTGTTGTTAAAGGGGCACTGAGTTTGATATATTTGGTAACTGCCAATCTCAGGTATTTGGGAAACACCACTTCCTTAGCAAGTTAGAAGTCCCCACTGACAGTCTACCCCAGACCCTCTTTCCATGAATACACTATGCGGACTTACCACATTTTTATACCTGTGGTTCAAAGGTCATCTGCAGATTTTCTCTCCTATGTGGATTCTCTGATGTCAAATAACATGGAAGCACCCACAGAAGGCTCTTCCACCCCAATAACGTGCACAGGGTTTTTCTCTTGCATGATTTCGTGGATGTCAAACAAGGCCAGAGCCCTGCTTCCCGGCTGCCCTGCCTTTGCCCCACCCACGGGGTTCTCTCTCGAATTCAAGTGTTGATGCCGGCCAAGGTGTGAGTTCCGGCCAAAGGGTGGCTCTCTCCCTCGCTTACGTCCACGGGGCTCTTCGTCTCTGGTGTGAGTTATCTGATGTCGGATGAGGTGAGAGCTCTGAATGAAACATTTCCCACACTGACTACATTTAAAAGGTCTGTCACTTCGGTGGGTCCTCTCATCTTGACTCAAAGGTGGGTCACAGCCGAGGGTTTCTGCCCATTCATGCTTTATCAAAGCTGGTGCTTGCTCAAAGATCAGCCTCTGGCGGCACTCATAGGGCTTCTCCCCGGCATGCTTTCGCTGATGCTGGGCCAAGGAGGAGCTGTGCCTGAAGCCCTTCCCACAGTGGTTACACTCATAGGGCCTCTCCTCGGTGTGAGTCCTCAGGTGCAGGAAAAGGCAGGTGGTCCGGGAGAAGGACTTCCCACACACACTGCAGGTGTACGGCTTCTCTCCAGTGTGTGTCCTCTTGTGCCGGCCCAGGGATGAATTCTGGTTGAAGGCCCTCCCACAGTCCTGACACTCGTAGGGTTTCTCCCCTGTGTGAATTCTCCGATGGACGGTAAGGTGTGTACTGTGGCAGAAAGACTTCCCACATTCGGCACACTTGTAGGGCTTGTCTCCTGTGTGGATTCGCTCATGTTGAACGAGGGAGGAGTTCTGGCTGAAGGCTTTCCCACACTCTTTGCACATGTAAGGCCTCTCTCCTGTATGAATCCTCTTGTGTACAGTGAGGTGTGCATTATGATTAAATGACTTCCCACAGTCGGTACATTTGTAGGGTTTATCCTGCACCTGGCTTTTCATGAGTTCTGTAATCGAAATGGCCTGACTGGAAGCTCTGCGACCGTCACTGCTTTCAAAGGGCTGTTCTCCTGGGAAGGCTGTCTGCTGACTGACTAAGCTCAAGTTATGTTCTGAGTTTGTAACCTGTGAGTCATAAGTATAGTAATATTCTCTCCTAGAAACCTCTGGGAATGGGTTTGGGTTTGAACTCAGGACACAGCTTTCTTCAAGTCTAAGAGTTTCATAGTCTTGATTTTGAATTGGTGCTTCTTCAAGGCCAAATTCCGATTGCCTCAAATTATTCTGATCCTCCTTGAGGGCCTGGCCCTGGCCCTCACACTGCCGGTCTTCCCCTAATGTGGAGGGATAAGAAGCATCCCTTGGGAATCCTTCCTTTTCTGTGGCATGGGGTGGCTCCTCTGCAAGAAGGCCCTGCCCCTTGGGTGATGCTCGGCCTTCAGGTCTAGGCTCCCATCCTGAAAGAAAACCAGTGAGCTCTTAATTTGGGGGGAAAAAAACAAGGACAGTGGACAATCCCCAAGACCTCGGGCCTGTTACTGAACCAGGATCCTAACAACTGCCTGGGAGAGTCCCCTGATTCTTCTCTTATTTTGACCCTAAGTGCCCTGTCCTCAAACATGGCTTCGCGCATTCAACAAATATTTATCATGTACCTGCTGTAGCCTGGCAAAGAGGTGAAAGTGTATTAGTTTCATCGCTGCTGCTGTAACAACTTACCACAAACTCAGTGCCTTAAATAACACGTTTATTATCTTGCAGTTCTGGAATGCAGAAGTCCTAAAATCAAATGTCGGCAGGGCTGGTTCCTCCTGGAGGCTCTAAGGGAGAACCTGCTTCCTTACTTCTTCCAGCTCCTAGAAGGTGCCTGCATTTTCTGGCCCTTTCCTTCCTCTCCAGAGCCAGCAGCGTAGTACCTTCCAATCTCTCTCTCTGTGACCTCTGCTTCTCTCATCACATCTCCTTTTCTGATTCTGACTCTCTTATCTCCTTCTTATAATGACTCTTGTGATTATATGAGGCCCACCCAATAATCCAGGATACCTGGTTGTGGGGATTAGGACATGGTCTTCAATTTGAGCCAGACTTCCCTGCTTGCCACAGCCTCTCAAGCTTCCTCACTTGCCTGAGTTTTGCCCATGACACATGTCATGTATTCACTAGTTTAGGGTCCAACTCACCATGCCAGAGCATCCACAGCCATTGCCTAGAGCTGCCAGATAGCAGGTACTCAAAAATATACGAACACTGGAGGGACTCTCTGAAGGAATGAACGAACAAGAGCTTGGCCACAGGAGAGGTGCTGGAGGATCTGAGGTGTGCCTGGTGCCAGGCCCCCTGCTCTCTCTCACCTCTGGTTCCCAAATTTGACTCTGCATAACACCCAGAGGGTTCTTATAAAACACAAGTTTGTCCAACAAAAACTTGTACATGAATGTTCACAGCAACACTATTTATAACAGCCAAAAGAGGAAAGAGCCCAAATGCCCATCAGCTGATGAACAGATAAAACAAAGGTGGCATATCTATACAATGGAATATTATTCGGCCACAAAAAGGAGCTAAGTATTAACGCATTCTACATGAATGAACCCTGAAAACATCATGCTCAGTGAAAGAAGCCAGTCAAAAAAGTCACATATTGTAAATTCTATTTATATGAAATGTCTAGAATAGGTAAATCCATAGAAATATAAAAAAGATCAGCAGTTGCCAGGGGCAGGGGAAGATGGGGAGCTACTGCTCATGGGTGACTTTTGGAGTGATTGCTATGGACTGAATGTTTGTATCTTCCCAAATTTCAAATGTTGAATCCCGAATCTCCAATGTGAGAGTATTCAGAGGGGGGGCCTTTGGGAGGTGATTAGGTCATGACAGTGGGGCCCACCTATGAGACTAGTGACCATATAAGAGATACTAGAGGGCTTGCTTCCTGTCTCTCTGCCATGTGAGGATACAGTAAGAAGACAGCTGTCTGCAAACACAGAAGAAGCCCTCACCAGGAACCAAATCGGCTGGCACCTTGATCTTGGACTTCCAGCCTACAGAACTGTGAGAAATAAATGTCTGTTGTTTAAGCCACCCAGTCTACGGTATTCTGTTATGGTAGCCCAAACTACTAAGACAATGATGAAATGCTCTGGAGTTAGACAGGTGTGATGATTTCCAATCTGTGAGTAGACTCAAAACCACTAATTGTACACTTTAAATAGGTGAATTTTATGGTATGTTAATCATTTCTCAATAAAGCTGTTAGAAAAAAACAGACCCACCCTCCTCCCCACCACAGGTCAGCCCTGGTCATTCCTTCACTCACCTGTACATTACTTCTTATGACGGATGACCCTGTATCCTCCTTTTCCATCACACCCTCACAGGCCTCACCTCCTACCTCTCACCCCCTTGCTCACCCTGCTTCCTGCCGGCCACCACACTGTCCCACCAATAAGGTCTCCAGGGTCCTTCCTCAGGCCCTTTGCACACACTGCTCCCTCTGCCTGGATCCCCATTTCCAGATATCCACTGGCCTCACTCCCTCACGTCCTCTCCTGGAGTCATTTTCTCAAAGAAGCCTTCCTGCCTGTCCCCAGGCATGAGTGCCCCACCCCACCATCCCCAAGCACAATTTCTTTACAGTCCCATCACCACCTGGCACTCGTACTCGTTTCTCAGACCCGTCTCCCCTGATGCTGAGCAAGAGCCTCATCTGGCATGTTCTCTGCTGCATGCCCAGCGCTGAGAGCAGCACATGGTGGGTCCTTAGTAACATTTGCTCAATGGGCTCATGAGTCGGAAGATGGACTGAGAGACAACACCAAGGATATTACTGAAGACTAAATACAACATTACTGCCAACCCCGGCAGAGACAGACATTGCCTGTGGGAAGAGCACAGAGAAAGACCCAGAGAAGGGGAAGCTGAGGTTGCTAGTGAGGGGCACATTGGTGTGAGCTGGCCTGGCTAGGAACAGCAGAGAGTATCAAGGCTGCGATAGGCTCCAGCTCCAGCCTGAATCCACGTGGGCCCCCACAGTTGGGGCCAGAACTCTAGCCACCTCCAGAACCATCAAGCCCAGGGTTTGGGAAGCCATGGTGTCCTCCCATCCAGGGAAGGTGAACCGTTGATGGAGAAAGGAATTGAGAGAAGAGCTGGGACTGCAGTCGGCCAGGAGGTGACCTGCAGCGGGTAAAGCTGGGTGAGCACAGTAAGAAATGAAGCAAAACGAGCAACAAGGACTGAGGAGGGGCTCAAGACCACCCAGCCAGCCCTCAGCCCGCGAAAACATGTTGGTGCACTGGGAGTGGGCATCTTCCTGGATGAGGATTCTTTTTCTTAAAAAAAAAATTACTCTCCCTTTTAATAAATATGTGGTAAGCTGAATAATGGCCCCTCAAAGATGTCCACATCCCAATCCCTGGAACCTGTGAATATGTTACATGGCAAAAGGGACATTGCAGATATGATTAAATTAAGAATCTTAAAGTGGGAGATTATCCTGGGGCCCTACATCTCACCAAAAGAGTCCACATGGGAGGGAGGCAGGATGGCCTGAGTCAGAGAGGGAGTCATGATGATGGAGACAGAGGTCAGAGTGATGTGCTATGAAGGCTCTTCCAACAAGCCAAGGAATGCGGGTGGCCTCTAGAAGGTGGAAAAAACAAGAAAATGGACTCTCCCCTGGAGCCACCAGAAGGAACCAGCTCTAACAAAACCATTTTGGACTTCTCACCTCCACAACTATAAGAAAATAAATCTGTGTGTTTTCAAGACACCTAGATTGTGGTACTTTGTTACAGCAGCAGTAGGAAGCTAATACAAAGTACCACACGGAAAATATGTTTCTGTTTTGACATAAATCCCTGAAAACCTTCTGCTTCTAGAGTATTTATCATTGTCTGGATACCAAGTTCTTGAAACAGTTTTCCCATCAAGATTTTGACCCCATACCCCTGACCTGTGCAAATGGGATGTTTTGCTTAACATTTATGGGCACACCTATTATTTTAGATCCTGGACTTAGTTGCTGCATAAGACCTGTGACTCAAAGGCATGTCCAGGATGACGAGGATTTGCTTCTAACACACAAGTCTGAGGTAACCGCAGTGACAAAGCAGGGTCAGCTGGAGATGTACCCCTGCCCCAGAGTGATGAGTCACATGGTGTCATGGAGGTACAGGTGTTTCCGTGGGAACCCCAGTGGCATCAGAAGCATTTGGGTAAGAGGGCCGGCCCGGTGGCGCACTGGATAGTGCGCCGCTTGGGAAGCGCGGCGGCGCTCCCGCCCGAGGGTTCGGATCCCACATACAGACCGGTTCCCGCTCGCTGGCTGAGAGAGGCGCGGGAGCAACACCGAGGGTTGCAATCCCG